TTTTTTTTTTAATAAAAACACTTAAACATTCATAAAGGAATATTCGAAAGCACATCCTGCTTTGGTCTTTCTCTGAGTGCAAGGCTGTCTTGAGCAGAGTGCATAAGGTTAGACTTCTCTTTAAACGCCAGCTTTTGAACTTTCAGCATGAAACACAATAAAAGCAGCCCTCCCTGCCCGTCTCCCCCACTGCCCAGCCGACCGGCTTCAAATGAGAAGGATCAACCCACAGTTTGGAGCATAATTCTCTTCTGGATAAAACGCGTGCTTCAAATACAATTATTTATCCAGATGAAAAAGCTGCGTCTGAGAGCAGAATGGAGGCACATCCATTCCGTTATTTTATCCTAGTAGTAATAAAAGAGGTAAACATTTATTTTTTCATAGAGATTGAAAACCTGTCTCCAACTCCAACAAATGTTTTGAGTAAACGTACAGCTCAACCCTCCAGAGCGATACGAACGTAGCTAAACAGCGAATGGACAGTGTAGACGTCAGTTCTACACCAACGTTTTCTCTGCGATACACTGCTTCTGAAACGTTTTTTTTTCCTGTGAACGTTTCCAGAGAATCAAGCTTGACCGACATCCATGTTACAATCACAGCACAGACTCATTTTATGGAAGCTGGGTTTCTAATCCTTAGCGCCCTTCCTTCTCCAAGGCCAGCAACTCACATCTCGGGCGTACGAGCAGGAAGGACCCTCTTAACTAACGAGTCAGATGACACAAGGGATTGCGGTGGGACAGATGGGACTTGGTGACAAACTGGCAGACTCAGGACACAGCTAAAAGCCACTGCTGCGTTCCAGCATCTCGCTGCTACTGGGAAGCGCAAGGACGTGAATGTTATGCGAGATTTCACTAAAATGCAAAAGGTTAGAAACAGCTTCTAAAACGTGTAAAACACCTCTAAACGCTTCTGCCCAGAATCGCCAGTTTGCAGCCTTTCAGCGGCAATTCAGAAATCTAAGTGCTGGGTCAGTGACAGGAAAGAGCATATGTTAATTTGAGTTATTTGTATCCTATTTAACACGCGAAGCGTATGGGATTTGAACTCCTATCTTAATATTTAAGTTATCAAAAGTAAACACAGAAAAACTAATCCTTAAAAAAGCCAATTCTTTCGGGAAGAATTCTAATGTTACTGGTAGAATCTTTCAACTTATTCGATAATGTATGTGGAAAGTAAATAAAATTATTTTTCGACTTCCTTGGATTTAGAGAAAACAAATAAGAAAAAAAATTATAAGCCTATACGTAAGCAGAGGAGCATAAAGAAGTACAAAAGACAGTCTCCTGTGCAAACTTTTTTTTAAACTACAAATACTCACCTAAGGATGCACAAGCAGATTTTGCCTCCCGATGTGAGTCTGCAGAACCCAAACCTCTGTTTGCTTTCAATGTCTGTGAGTACGAAGGCAAAGTGCTGTCCAACTTGATTTTGAGACACTCTGAAATACAGCGATATTAAAAAACGCAGAGCCCACGTCAGGATCCTCGTAAAGTAAAGCAAAAGCAAGAATCTATCTACTGTGGCATAGGTTTCTGCTTCCCGACCAGGTGCTTCTATGTTAGAACTACATTCTAACACTAAAACGAGGGTAAAAAGTGGGAACTAAATCGTGAGTCAAACGTTAAAACAAGTCAGAACCCCCTACGGGCTGAGCAGTTCCGCGTAGACTAATCCCTTCCTAGGGAATCGGGAGGAATTGTACCCTAAGTTTTTACAGGCCTAAAATACTTATAAATATGTCACAAATTCTGAAAAAAAAAAAACCGATTACTGGAACTGTGGAAGTGACGGGCTGGACGTGATGACTCGGTCCCAGCCTCTCTTCCTGACGCTTCAAAGTCGGCTTGGAGAGCAAACCACGTTGCCTTAGGACATCATGGCAGCCACCACCCACCCCGTTCGATGGCTTCTTCTGTTGCCATTCTCCCCCAAGGTCGGACCACGTGAATTATTCTTGGCCTCTCTTTAGCACCCTCTTGTAGAGCTGCCTAGATACTGAGAATAAATTCCCAAGGTCAAAAATAAGAATCCAATTTCTACAAAAAATCTTGCAAGATTTTAGCTAATTTTGAATGACGTATCACACGACCATCAGAGGTGTCGCGCTGCAGTGTGAGGCGCAGTGTAAATCAGCACACTGAACCTTTACTATTGAAAATGTAGATTTAAAACGTACAAATGTATTTCCTGTTACTGGTTATATCTCACCACTGGACAACATGACTGAACATCGACCTCCTTGTCCTGACATAAAATATCCGTGACGCCTAAATTTTGGTTTTGAAACAGCCACGGGAATCATGTGAAAGGAAACAAGTTACTTGATTACAAGTGGCCAATACTACAAATCGCTTTCAATTGCCGAGAAACATCGCATTTCAAATGCTGAACATTTAACACATACATTTTGTAAGGGGACTATTTTTTAAAAATTTACAAATTTCAAAAACAACCTCCAGTGCCCAATGCCTAGCTTTTCCTCTTTTATTTTATCTTCGCTATTAATTTGAAAACTGCACCTTTAGCAAGCACCATTGATTGCCCCGAACAGAGGTAAGAAAACCAGGGGTCTCATTTACCACAGTACCTATGAGTGGCCATGAGCCCGTTATTCAGAAGATTATCTTTAATACTGTAAAAGTTTAGATCTTTACTAATCTTTAGGAAAATATTTTCCTAAAATAAATGTTCTTTAAAAATCCACTCATACCATCCTCTTAAAAAAAAAAAAAAAACTGATAATAGGGTGTGAAAACCACGTGGAGAAGAATAAAGCATCCGTTATCGTGTTGGAAAGGCTGGCCCTCTGTGACAGCCCGAGCACGCGCAGGTAACGCTCCATTCAGCCAGTATTTATTCAGTCAAATACAAACATAATGAGATTTCTCAAAACTGCCAGAAGAGTTGCCTGTAGCCTCCCGTAATCGTGCGCTATTTCTATAAAGCCATTCTGGGGAGATGACCAGCCACTGGTCTTGTGATATCACACAGATGGTCTTTTCAATTAGGGCGAAGGGAGGTGGAAGCCAAGACATATACATCGACGCTTAAAAGACACAATTCTAAGGCTCTGATCAAGGACGTAGTCATGTTTTTTTTTTTTTTTTTTCTGCTGGTGCTTACAATATGTACCTGAAGAACAAAGGGAAGAAATGGAATCTTACGACTTCTCTTAACCGGCCTCGGTAGGAGAAACAAAAAGATCTACTGGTTTAAAAGGCTTCTTCATTCCAAGTGTGATTTAATTTTAAGCCTCTAGTCTTTTTTGTTGGAAGGAGTGAAGAGAAAGTACCTTTCGTTTTATTAAAAAAAAAAAAAAAAACACACACACGCACACACACAAAAACACGTGTAATAGTTTTAAAGTGCTCACTAAGATGGCTAAAGTCACTGTGACGATGACATACTGTACCTTTCAACGTCAAAGGGGAAACAGAACTTTGGCACACTCTGTAGGACTTCCTGCAAAGGCAAGTGAAGAAAAAGAAGCTTTAGAATATTTTTAGAATAGTTTATAAAGCTGTAGCAAAAACTTTTTTGAGACATCTTCTGGGGGGGAAAAAAAAAGAAAGGGTTTGTTTTTTTTGTTTTTGTTTTTTTAAGGAAAAATAGCACAGGTTCCTCGACTAAAATAATTGATTATTAAAAAGGAATTAAGTGTGTGCTTTGGCAGATTGCAGTGACAATGCCAAGAAAGCCCCAGGAGGCAGAGGCCTGGCCTGAAGTGTATTAACGCCCTTCATGTCCCCGCTGGGATCGCCTCCGACAAGGCCATATGGGTTTTACAAGAAGCGCCGCACCATATGGGGAAGCCACGTCTGCTGCTACTGCTACCCCAGACTAGCCACAGGGACTTCTGACAGATCCTGGCTCAGAAATATAAATGTTGTTTCAATTAAAATGCAGGCAGAGAAAGGGGAATGAGGCTGGCAGCGGAATGAATTACGGAGGGGTGTAACAACTCGACGGGTCCCACAGCAAAACGGTTTTTAAGAAAGGCTTTCTAGAGCTAAAAGGACACATTTATGGGATTCGACTCTCGGTCGATTCGATGACAGAGACGCTAAGCGAAATCTCAAATGAAACTCTTAAATGTGTAACCGAAAACGGGTCTTTAAATTGAAAACAACATAGCTTCTATTCTGAGCACTTTCATTTAAAAATTGCCTAATATGAAAATCAGTGTTTTAATTAAACATAGAAACCAATCTTATTGCTTTTGAAACCTGTGGTGGTTTTACAGTCATTATAGAATAATTTTCAAAGCTTTCAGAAATCATACACATCGACGATTAAAACAAAATGCAAAGAAGTGTCGGCCATTTGGCAAAAAAAAAAAAAAATTTAAAAAAAAATAGAAAAAGATCTATTTTATAATACATGAAAAACAAGATTAACTCTGATCCTGAAGATAATCTTTAGAATTGAAGGTATCGTACAAGTTCAAAGCCAGATGATGTCACGAGACAAAGCAGAGATTTATGTGGATGTTTCCATTTAAAAACAAGCAATCTAATACCTTAGTACAGTCGTTCCCACCCCACACATACCTTACCTACGACCTCTTTACCGGTGAAACCGACCACCAGAGAAATCATCAATCTCTAAGTATTTAAACCCTGCACAGAAACGCAGTATTGACTGCTTTAAAGTAGACTTCTGTCTCGCGTTTTAAACGTAGCTACAGTAGGGCATCAATTAAAAATAAGACCTGGTAAAACTTCAGTACCGATACCGAAGAAGGCATCGCAAGCCCTAAGTCAGACACAGAAAGAAAAGCATCCGGTAAGAAGCCATCTTCTACATTTAGGGTGCGGCACCCCGGTCTGCTTGGGAACAGGCACCTTTAAAAGTGGGGGCACAGACTCCATGTTCAGAAAAAGCGGTTTTGCTACTGATGGTATTTTGCTACATGGAATTGAACCTGCTGCTAAACTTGAAATCATTTCATTTACTTAGACCGCAAACAGTTCATTACCAATGAGAAGAGACCATCTGACCGTTGCTCCCCCTTATCTTGTGCTGTGAAAAGTAAGCCACGGTTTCATACTACACGTATGAACGCTATTTAGATACGCCCGCAAAGGCATTCATAAAATTTCTGTGGCTATCTATCTATCTATCTATCTATCTATCATCTACCTATCTATTCACAATTCACCGTCTGCTTCTAAATACACCCAAATCAGTAATATATTTTGCACTGATTTTCAGACTCGAATTAAGAAGGTTCCACCGTCAGGGGCTTTGGCTTTCACACCCTCCCCCCTCTCTCCTCCCAGAAGCAACACACACGCACAGACTTCTGCAAAACAGCAGCTCGCTTCCCAACTGGCAGAAGCACCCCTCAGGGGACAAGTCTTTAAACCTCCGCAGTCTTTAAAATTCAACCAGCCAGCAGGTCTATAGACTAGTGTATAAACAGTATGGACAAAAAAAAATCCTCTCTCAGCTTAGGTCAGTGACAAAGCAGCTCCGCGGTTGACTGTTTCTCCCCTGACAGTATAAGCTGGGTTTACACAGATCAATAGCTGGGAGTCCTACCTAGCTCCGGGGCCGGTTCTCTCCCTTAATTACAGGTGCTATTTAAATTGAAGTTAAAAAAGAAGAGCGAGTCCGAGGGAGGAAGAGGAGGCAGCAATTAGTGTTTCTGGACCCTTTTAGCAGTGACGTTAATTTAAAGTTGTACTTTTATATTTATTGGGAGTGCTCATAAAATCTGATATTTCCACCATACGGTGTTTTTGATCTAACACACACAGACACACACACACACACACAGTTCTAGGCTGGCATCCACAGAGTATGTAAAAGGTTTAAGATAATACTCTTCAAAAGTTATGTTTCCCCGTTTTTTGCGGGCTTTTGTTCACACACACACACACACACACACACACACACACACAAAACCTGATTTCCTTAGCCAAGAACAATGATTTGGGTTTTCGACATTCTTTCAATTCTCTAAAACTTTTAAGTTTTATACAAAACGTCGACATGTTTTGTATAAATTTTATACAAAAATAACGAAAGTAATGAAAGAGAATACAAAATTATGAATCGCAAAATACATGGGGCAATAACGCATTTATCTGCATGTGTCCTACAAACAACCCATCCACTATTGGATAAACGACTGGAAACCGAGCTGATGAAAATGTATATGTTGCTCCTTTTGACCCCGTACCCCGCATCAGCACTAATAAGGATGGTGACCGGGTTGATCTTGTAAGCAGGAAGAGTAAGCTGCTAGCAGAGTGCCGTATTAGCTCTACCCTGTGAGGGTGCCATTTCACACAATAAATTGATCAAATAAAAGAGGAAACAGGCATTCGAGAACCTACTTTTTTTTTTTTAAGCTAAAATATGTAAAGTTGACCTCCTGGTTATTGTTCAATCGCTACAAAGGTCTTAGAATTCTTCTGAGAAAAATGCAAGGTAAAATGAAATGTGTCAACCGTTGTTACCAGCAATTCTTTCTTCCTCCTCAACTGCCCTTCCCCAGCCGTGCCCTGGGACCCGAATGCTCCCTGAGGTTCCATGTCTTCCTCTCGGCCATAGTCGGTAAAGTAAGTCTGCCCGAGCAACCTCATCCGCACCCACGGCTTCACCTCCACCTCCCAAAACACTCAGTCTTCCGGTGAGGTACTGAAGTGAACCCCGGGATTATACGTCTAACTACTTCTATTATCAACTTCCGAATGTTCCCCAGAAATTCAAAATGTACAAAATTGAAGTCATTCTCTTAGTTTTTGTCCTTATCACCTAGAAAGGAAGCACCATCCACCCAGTTACCCAAACGGAAAACATGGCAGTGCCCCCTGCCTTCCTCTGACCTCCATGCATAGTCTGTCATTCGTCAAGTCCTGATCATTCAACTTCATAACTACCATGCTCCAGAGGTTCTCGACGGGAGGGCAGAATGAATTAGAAGGGAAGTAACAAAGGATGAAAATCAACTGGACAGGTTTTCAAAACAGATGTGAGCGGATATGTAGTCTGTACAGGCTACAGACGCGTAAGGGTCTTGACTCTGACTTAGCTTAAATGGCACTTGCAACGAAGATGTAAGATTACCTGTACCCACTGAGGATGCTTAATGAATATAAGGAATAGTTCTCGTTGCAAGAAGTGACAAGGTGAACTGTCCGGGGAGTGACTAATTCAACATCCCCCTGGAGGACTCAGGAGTCGTCTGTCCTTCTGCTCTGCCGTCCTGGGTTGGGTGGCTGTGTCCTCAGCCTCCTCCACTCATGGTCACAAGATGTGCTGCCAGAGCTGAGCACATGACACGAAGACACAGCACACCCAGTGGAAGAAGCATCTCTCTCTGGGAGTCCCTTTTCTTCAGCGAGGGAATCTTCCCCAGAAGCCCCGCCGGCTGACTTCCCTTTATGTCTCATTAGCCACAAAGTCAAAGTCACTTCTGAACTAATCATTGGCCAGGGAGCCAGTTACCTGCGCTCAGGAAAACTCGGGTTTCAAATCCACTCACTTTCCACTCCCCACGACACACGTGATCACAAAGAAGCCTGAGTGACGTATCAATGTTTCCTTTCTTACGACTCCTCGCGACAATTTTAATCAGATAAGAATTAAATTTACACCAAAGTTCTCAGGGAAGATATAACACAATACTCAAAGGACAGTTTTCAAATGCCCGTAATTGTATTCATTTGAATAACACTTCAGAATCATTTTATAACGACGAGGGGGCTGCTCGTCAGTTTTAACTTAATTTTTCACAAAGGCCGTAGATTTCTAAAAAGATGATGACTTAATTTTAAAAATTATCTCCCCAAATAAATAAGAATTAATACCACGTATTCATTCAATCCACTTGTGCTTTACGTAGGAAAATAATAAACCTCCTTTTTCTCAAAAGAAAGATGCATAGAGCTGCTTGGTCATCAGCAGGCAGTGAGGTGCAGAACTGGCCCCCACGCTGCGCCCTGAGATGTTCAAATTCCCAGGGGCACCCCAAGATGTCTCAAATTGTCAAGGGAAACGCCGCCATACTCGGAGTGATTCAATCAGGATGCATTTTATTAAGAGAAAGAATTACATTATGATATGGCAAATTGCACAGAGCCTCTTTAAACAGCTTCTCGTGTTTTTAAGAAGTTGTTTAAACTTAGAGGATATATTTTAACTTCAAGTCAAGGAATAACTGTCAATAACGGAGCCCACTGTGGTGTTTTACTTGGCTTTGACTTTCACGTAATATTTCAATCAGAAATACATTTCTCCTCCACCCTTCCTCCTTCAGCTGGGAAAGCACCGTAAGACTGAATTCCGACACAGAAACTGTTTAGATGATTAACTCAGGTTGAGTTATTTTTCAGTATCAAACTTTAAAAATGAATTTTAATCATTAGAAGATATAAATAACCGTCATAAAGCAAATCTATTCTGCTAGGATAAGAACTGTGCTGTTGACATATGAATTTCAAGGATTTTGG